AATAAAAACCTCTTACTGAAAAAAAAAGAAAAGCTAATGTTTACTTACAATGCTAATGCTACACTTACTCTCTGGTGCTCAAGAGGTAGAGGAGCCAAATGTCTGGCTCACTGCTGCCAACTAGTGGTCAGAGGCTGAACTACAACATAAAAACGAACAGTTGGCAGGAAGGTTGATATTTTAAACCTTAATTAAAAATCGATACAGGGCTTTAGAATATGATACAGTTTCGGGAAATGAAATATCACGATATTTCAGTGTATCGATATTTTCTTACACCCCTAGTATCTATATGTATATATGCCTGAGAAACACATAATATTGGCCCTTTAAGAAAATTAATGGTAACGGTTTAGACCAAAGGTTCTCTGCTCCTAAAGCACGGGTCAGAGGCAACGCTCAGCTACGACCACATAAACTTTTAGCTCAGTATCTGTTCAATTCATTTTGTTGTCGCCATTTTTGTTGGTTGGCTGTGGCGGCCATCTTGAATTAAGCTAACTCCAGGTTTAGTCGTTTGTGATTCAAGACTTCTGTGGCGGGTGGGCAGCAGGATCTTCACAACCAAACTTTACAGAACCTCCCAAAGACAAGAGACTGAACTGAACCCTGCTGCTGCCCTCGGGTCAAACTGAAAGCACGAGTCATAAAACGACCTTAAACGACCTTTCTGCTCGGGTCACACACAGTCTCTCCTGTTTGTGCCAGATTCAGAATCAGTCTGTTTACCTGCTGCTCGTCGAAGTCTTTGATGCCCACACAGTAAACTCGAGCGCCGTACTTCCTGGCCTCGTCAGCCTGCAGCTCAGAGAGAAGACGTAAAGAAACTCTTTGTTAAAAAGAATAAACAAGTTGCATTAATCAACAGGTTGAAATGAGTAAAACAGAAAGGAGCTGCACCTCCTTCACAGTGAGTTCATGGACGTAAACGGCGAGCTTCCCGTCTGTTAGAGCCAAGATGATGCTGGAGGACTTCATGGACTGCTGCTGGATCTGAAGCGAGGCCTTGGGTTTGAAAGAAACTTTATCAGATCTCAGGTTTTATTGAGTTTAAGTCTTAAATAAAAAAAAACAGTATTTAACAGGACAGACCCACCTCTTTGAGCCCCTCGTGCATGTAGGTTTCACCTGCTGGTTTGACGTCTCGCAGACGCCGTAGGCCTTCTTCGATCCGGTTTCTGAAACGTGGCAGGAAATCATCGATCAGTTCGGCTGCAGTAAATAAAACCACAAGAGGCAGAAGAAATGATCCCACCGTACCGGTCTCCAGTCAGCGGCAGGACCACGTCGGCTTGGGCCGAGAAAACGATGAACGAGACCCTCATACTGGGGCTGAGGAGGAAACACAAAACAACTCATTCACTTCATTTATCAAAAATTAAAAACTGCAGGTTGGAGAATCAGAGCTGATTCTGACACGTAAACATCATGAGACCAAAACAACCGTGTCGACATCCCAGAACATCCAGAGCAGTTTCAGCTCTGCTGAAAGAAACTAGAGCATTGCCTTTCCTGTGAAAATGCTAGAGTGAGTGATGATCGCTGAAAACTGCAGCTGAAAACGGCTGAAAAGGAGCTGAAAATGTTTTATAGCAAAACTGTTAATGCCAGTTCAATTTGAGAATAGCCAAAAGGTGCAAACTAAGCATAGGAGAAGGAGCTCCTTTAATGTCAACTAATCTCAGAGCGTGACTTAAAGCAGCTTCTGTGGGACTGAGGAAGTGATTAATCAGACAAGAAACATGTTGTGATGATGAGTCACGTAAACATCCTGCTGTTCAAAAATAACTATAAATAAATAGATTGTACCTGTGATAAAGGCTGTTAATTCACTCAGGACACTTTGATGCGACTCAGATAAAAACCTTTAAGTTGTTTACATTCAGTCACATGAGAGGACTCTGCGTGTTGACAGATTTTTGCTTCACAAACACAGGTGGTTCTGATGTAAACACCCAGATTAAACTGGTGAGGACCGCCCAAACACCAAGATGAGAACTGTAAGCAACTCCGGGCCGTGCAGCTGTCTTCGAAACTTTACCGACTCGTGTTGAGAAAGGCAACGTTTAGTCGAATTAGCTGCATTTGTGTTGGAAACATTTCTTCCATTTAGCCACGTAAAAGCAAACAATCAGCATTTAGAAGTGTTTTAACAAAAACTGCTAAAGCATAAACAGTAAAAAGCACTATAAACTCACTTTTTGTGATTTAAACAAATGTCTTATTTTGTGTTCTATTGATAAAATGTGTATTTATCAACAGAACACTAAAGTAAAACTAAAATTTATATAAATTTCTATGCTTTGTATAAGAAAAAAACAAAAGAGGATACTGATTTATAAACACCAAAACAAACTAGACCTGGGTTTTTACGATGTAAAAACAAATGTGCATTGCATTGGCAATGCACACTGATGAAGGAAATATGCAATCACTGCAGAGTTCCCAATGTTTTTCCTAAAAACTGAATTTTTACTGCTTTTATTTTCTTTTTCACCAACAGCTCTTGTATCTCTCTGCTAATTGCTACCAGTTTTGTAAACAGTTTATGTGAAATAAAGAAATAAACAAGAGCGTTAACATTTACTGTTTTGCAGTGTTGTATAAAGCAGTGTTTCAGTGTTTCCCAAAGTTGGGGTCGGGACCCAAAGTGGGGTCCCGAAACATCAAGGTGGGGTCCTGAAAAGATTTTTTTAATTAATTACATTTTTGCCTTATTTGTTACAAAGGAGTGAGGTTAGTATATTTAAAATGGATAAATGTAGTATAAAAATATTGTTACTATGCCCGTGTTTAGTTGACCTGATACAAAYGTTTATCATACAAAAACAGTTGGGGGCTCAGGTCTCTGCTACTGTTATTTTGTGGGTC